GTGGGAACAATCTGCAGCGTAAAGCAGAAACTATCAATCTACATTAAATAAAAAAACTTGAAAGGAAAAGAAAAGAAATGACACTGAAATGAGCACACTATATTTGAAATAGAAATAAGTAAATGTTGAATGTCATATAATTTAAAGAAACAGCAATGAGAAAAATAGATTCTGTCTAGTACATTGAACTATTTTTGGAGTTCCATTCCTGTGTGAATATTTGTACAAAAAAAAGATTATCTTGAAATGAAAGTAAAAATATGCGAAGTTGAAAATGACAAAACTTAGTTTTGCGGCCTGACCAGTTCATTTTTCATTCAATTCCGAGGTATTTTAGTCTTTGATATGCATAATTACAATATAGCTTTTTAGTTTTAGTTTTTCGCACTCCCATCTTGAATTTCTTGCAGTGATTTTCAATTCCCGCTTTGAGAGAGGGAAATAACCCAAGCACAAAAATCATGTTAATTATGCATCAAGAATAAAATAAAAACTACGCAAAGAATTGATTAGGAAGTGAATGAGAAGTGAACAACAACTAAGAACTGATTAGGAATAGAATGACAAATGAACTAGATAGGATGTTTGTGTTCTCTAGGAAGTTCTTGTTCATCTGTAAGTTAGATTCACATACTAGCATATATACGTTTATATACTTACAAACATAGACATACACATATATATATCCTGTTTTCTTTACTTATACAAATGCATATACATACATACACAGAGACAAAGGCATACATATACATAGTAGTGTACATACATAATGTGTGTATATGCATACATACATATGGACATGCATAACATGCATATAATTATACATATAAATATATATGAGCATATAAAATGAACTAGAAAATGTTTTATGGACTAAACATAGTCCTAGATTGTTTAATTTTATGTTTAAAAGCTTTCTGGAAAAACTTCTCCGGAGCGGTTCAGGGCGAAAAAATTGGACCGCAGAAATCAAGCAGATGAGGCATAACCATAGCAATTAATGCGAGGATAAAAACATAAATATGAACAACATCCTAACAAGTTACTATGGACATGCCTAAGGCAGTTGTACAAGCATTGTGAGGACTAACATAACAATTTACATAGCATTTTTCTTAGTATTCACCTTTTACCATTCATGTCAAATAAAAAAAAGTTCCATAATACATGTAGAGTCTACACAACTTTGTTATCGATTGGCAATTAAAATACTAAAACATCAAATAGGATGTGAACGAGTTAATGGGAATGATGTAAGAGAGGCACCAACAAACAAATTGAGAGAGCATGGGACTAACATCGAAAAGATTGAAACAACAGCTTCATAAATTACTCAGCAGAAAGCATTGTACGAACCTTTATGTAGTATTTAAATGTTCCACTAGTATCACGCAGGATGCGCGTTGTTCCATCAAGTGGGTTGTGAATTCCAGGATATTTTGGCCCAAATGATAAATCGTGAATTACATGACTAACATTTACATGCTTGGAACCTCCAAAAATCTGTACAGGAAGTTAAGAAAATAAACACTTACAGACACAGCAACCAAAACAGTCTGCAACATGACATCAGAAACAAATCTCGGACAAGCTACTTTCTTGGAAGGTAACCAATCTAGCGCATCACTCGTTTCTCTCTCTTTTTTCTTTTAATAGAGAATATATGAGAATATTCTTAATATGAGATCATAAATTGACAAAGATCACAATGTAAATATAGAAATGCACATTTAACTTTGTGGCACTGTTTCAAACCCTTGTTTTATATTTCTTATCCTCTCTCTTTCTCTCTAATAATATTTGTAAACCAAATTCACACTGCAAATGCAACATACTTACAATTAAGAAGATTCAAGTTGACTTTCAATTTTTCAATGGTTTTAAAACCTTGAAACTACTCTTTAGCATCAGCATATACTTGAATATGTCTTATGTGTCTTATGTGTCTCCAAATTACAACACACCTATAAACACTCCAGAACTCTGTATAGCATGTTTCAGATTTTGTGTCAGAAATTTTGGATCTATAGTGCTAAGAGTAGCAGCAAATTGTCAAAACAATTACAACAGCAAATGTCAGATGAATCTTCATCAAGTAGATCTATTGCTATAGAGAGGTTACTGACCATTTGAGCAACATATATGTTTAATCCATGAACAGAAATATGGAAGTTTCCAGCAACCCTTTGGACATCTAAAACCCCATAAACCTGCAAAAGTGTTTAGCTGGGACATTAATTTTTTCTTCTGACACAAAAACACAAACAGCAAACTAGTTTGCTATCAAATCCAAAAATGCTAACAAGAGAATACCCGACATCCTTCCCCATTTGCCAATGCTTCCTTCACCTTCTTAATCATTTTTTCAGCATCTTGATCAAAACCGAGTGTATGAAGCGTATGGTCAGAATCTTCATGATGTTCTTTATCATCTGTTAACACTCATCATGGTAGATTCAACATAATAAGTGCAGGGGTATAACCAGAAAGAATGTTTATTCTTTAGTGAAATGCTAGAATAAATACTTTAATTACTATAAATTGTACTATTTTTTACAAGATCAATTCATCTTTACAGGATTTGCTAATCACGCCACGTTACCTCTTTGATACTTGAATCAGATCAAATAAACTTATTACAAAATATCTTATTGTCATCTAATCATTATCTTTATTTCCAACAGCGCATTTCTACTCATAGAACAAATAACCTTTCCTTAGGTTAAGTTTGGTTCAAGTTCTAATTACATAGAATATAATCAGAATTCACCACAAATGAGGTAGAATTTTGAAAGAAAATAATTTCATCTTAATTCCATCTCCAACTCAAGTTAGATATCTTTGTAATTTCTAACTTGACAAGTGGAAATCCAATTCATCTAATATAGGATAATTTAAGGTTACTTTCCTTCATTAGGAATTTCGGGATGAAAATCTAACACATTAGAGTTCTTAGACATGTAAGAACTCCGTAACAAAAAGTTAACAAACTCGGTGCTCAGTCATCCTATTCGGTGGCAAGCATAATGTAAAGACATAATTGTCAAAGAGTTTAAAATCAACAAATTGACCAATCTGCGCTTCAACTTCATTTTTGAGTTGAGCATCAGTATGTCAATTATTGGCTTAGATTTCTCCTTGCATTCAACTTCCATAGGAGGTCCTACGTCACCTCAACATATCTATTCTTAGGAAGACTTGATAGTTCTTATTGTTTCAACCTCAAACCGCTTCTTCTCTCCATTTTTTCATTGACTGCAGTCTGTAGGTGCTTCTGTTTATATTTACTTCTCTCTTTTGTGGTCATAGGTTTTAAAACTAAATTCTCTATGCCAAAACAGAAAGTAGTAAAGTATTGGTAGTCTTGTCATATTGAATATGTCAATCATAAAGCCAAGGTCAACTGGGATAAACATGTGTGAACATTATAGAAACTATATCACCCAGGACTAGATCAACATAGGTACATTTTTTTTCAGACAAAAAACATCAACATAGGTAATATGACAAATGGAAACAAGACTTTGCTGAGTCACCAAATACTTATATCACCTGTCCAAACTAGTCTGTATGGTTGGGATGTGGATATGGATGCAGTTGAAAAATTAGGCTGTTCAACTGTAGAGATTGAAACAAAGTTCTTGCAACAATCCTCATGAACAAGTTTCTTGCCTTTATTTCCATAGCAAACTAGGTTGGAAAATTGAAGAATGCTTTCAATTTTCTTTCACTTTAACTGCATAGTTGTGCTTAGTTACAATCAAGAAATATTTATCAAGTCTATTATACATGTGTCAACTAGTTCTTTTGCTTATGATTTCACATGTTTAAAATTTTCCATCATACTAACTTTTCTCAAGAGGAGACTAAAACTAAGAACAAGCACAATTGTTGAGAAATGTTTCTAAACTGTTGAAAATCAGTTCGGTCAAACTTGATCAAGAGTCAAAGCAGAGCACAATTCTACAATGCCCATTCGCAAGTCATGCACGCGTGTGGCTCTCACACAAGCTTTCAAGCACTCGATCACTGGCACTTGACTCAATCGAGGTGGGCATTTGAGATTTAACGTCAGTTTCAATCATTGGTCGGTGGTGATTGGTGAATTGACTGGCACTTGATTTGTGGTCTCAGGATTTTGTAATGTTGAGACTGTTTAGGTCCAGTATTTTGAGTATTTGGTGTAGGAATTGTAACTTTTGACACCAAACTGATCTAGGACAAATTAGGATAATTTCTCTATTTGCAGATGGGAGTAAAAATCTATACATTACTCCTAGGGCTTATATTACTTCTAGGATCTCTAGATATCACATCTATTTTTAGATATTACACCAAAAAAGTCTTAAATATCACACATGTAAGGGTAAAATTGCATTATACAACTAGAAATTTGAGAAACTCTTTAAATATTATCTTGGATAACAAAATGATCGTTCAAGGAGACCATAAAGATATTTATAAAGTGCCAAGTAGGTTTTCTCAGAGTAGGATTGGACAAAGAAATACCAAGACTAATAAGATTTAAAATAATACTACTAATATAAATAGAAAACCTAAATACCACTAATAAAAATAAAATCCTAAAGTCATCAAACCCATAAGAATAGATTCCTAATAGTATAGTAATTTTATATTTAATAGAATCATGATGTTAAAACTATTTAGGCAATCTAATGTTAATCCATTCCACATCACCATCATCTTAAAATTGAATATATGAGCGAATTTGATTTAGGTTTTATATCATATATGTAGGACTATGACTTAACTTTTACATATAAAATAACAAGATCTAGGAATTGAATAAAGTAGAATATATTTGAACGAAACAAAACATGAAATAATTACTTTTTAAATTAAAAATTATGATATGTATCATTAAAAAATTACAACAAATAACAAATAAATTATTTTGACTTATTTACTATAGAATTAAAAAAAAAACAACTTATTTATCATAAAAGCTCAAACCTTGTACTACTTCTTATAGTAAGATTGCTATAAGGACCTAAGATTTTGGAAAAGAGAAAAGAAAAATTCTAATCATGGGGCTTCCTCACAAGTCTTCTTGGTCCTATCCTTCTTTGACCTTTCTTAGTAATTCCAACTCCGCTATCAAACCCCTAACACATGGTTTCTTTTCGCAAAGAAAAAAAATTCATTGAAAGGTGACATAATTTACAAAATAGAGTTAGAAACAAAACATTTATGTAGCAACCAATATCGACCTGATCATTGATAAAATCACCCTTAAACAAAGAACAAAGGCTCCTAAACTAGTGATGCCAAAGATATCCATGGAGGTACAATAAACACAGCATCATTTTACTGCTATTATTTTATTTATCACTAACAACATACATGTCACCTTTTTTTTTGGAACGAAAACTGGAAGTATGTTATTAACAAGCCACCAAGGCAGTACCACATTTCCTTAAACTAATGTAACTTCTTGTTAAATTGATTGTATGTATGCATGTCTGCATTGAGAACATGCATTTCCCTCTTCCTTGTTCCTACAAGAACTCATTCACTTTTGAGATCTTTCTCGGAAAACAATAAGCATGAAAGCCTATATCCCTTTCATTTTTATCTCAAACCCTCAATGCATTAAAGACTACTAACTTCCTTCATCTTACCTAGATTTGTTTGCTTTATACTAATGATGGGTAAAATATTCACTCCATTGCAGTACCTCTTCATGATAGTCAAGCTCAAATTTCTTTCCCGAAACACCGCCATGAAAAAAGGAAAATGCAACTTTGAGAGGGTAACAAGTAACTTTTCAAGCTGCCTTGGCAAGGAGAACTAGGTTATCCTCTCAAAACTTGACTGCCCCTGTTAGTTTAAACGACTTGACAAAAAAGAAATACTTCTTCAAATATGCCTTCAGTTCACCATATCCTCCATATGTAAGTTTACCTTTTGACAAAAACTGAAAAAATCCTTGACACGCCTCAACATCCCAATTTGAACATTTTGAAATAAAAGAAAAAGCACCTTCTATAATGCCACCCAGTTGCTGAAGAGACAGCTAAATCCCCTTTCTGCCCTAGCATGGAGAAAAGTTCATGAAATACATTTTTCAAGGGTTCTCCGCCATGCTAAACGTCTAATATAGTTATTGTCCTGTCTAACATTGTGATACAAATAAAACTTACTTCTATTTCAGATTATTAGATTTACTAGTTAGCAATATTTTTATAGTTTACAAATTTGCTTTACATGAGATATAATCACAGTTTATAGTTGAAAATTTTAGAGAAAATAAACTTCTAATTTGATTTCTTATATCCTTTGTGTTTACAGTTATGAGATATATATAGAGTAATTATCTTTATTTTAAGAAAATTCTAATTACATTATATATGTTTACTATTAGAACTCTAACTATAGTTTAATACTCTACTTAACATAGAATCTTCATCAACACTCCCCGTTAAGTTGGTGCAAAAATATCACACATGTCCAACTTGTAAACCAAGTTCTCGAGGAATTTATTGTATAATCCTTTAGTGAAAATATCAGCCACCTGGTCACCAGAAAATACATAATATAAGCATAGAAAGCCACCAACTACCTTCTCTTTTATGAAGTGTCAATTTCAATGTGTTTTATCCTATCATGTTGAACTAAATTATGAGTAATGTTAATAGTTGTTTTATTGTCACAAAACAGAGATAGTCTCTCCTCTTTAAGCAGTTTTAATTCGCTCATTAACTTTTGCAACCATAATAATTTACAAACTACTTGGGCCATTGCTCTATACTCGGTCCCTGCACTAGAATGGGCAACTATACTTCACTTCTTATTTTTCCATGTGACCAAGTTGCCTTATACAAGTGTGCAGTAACCTATAATTGATCTTCTATCATCTAGAGACCCATCCCAATCGGCATCTGTAAATACTTCTATTTTAAGGTAACCGTGCTTAAAAAAGAGCATACATTTTCCTGGTGCAAACTTCAGATATCGTAATATGTGAAAAACAACATGTATATGAGTCTCATGAGAATCATGCATGCACTGGCTCACTAGACTAACTGCATATGCTATATCAGGTCTGGTATGTAAGAGATAAATGAGTCGTCCAACTAGTCTCTGGTATTTTCCCAAGTCAACTGATGTACCACTGCTTACTTGTAGTCTGTGGTTGCTTTCAATAGGTGATTCTGTTGGTTTACAGCCCATCATACCAGTCTCTTTTAGTAAATGTAGGATATACTTTATTTGAGAAATGAAAATCCTTTATTGGATCTGACAACTTTAATTCTCAAGAAGTATTACAATTTTTCTAAATCCTTTATTTCAAACTCTTGAGTAAGTAGTTCCTTCAACCGAGTCATCTCTTCTATATCATCTCCAGTCACCACAATATCATCTACATAAACAATGAGAAGAGTGACCGTACCCTCACGATATTTGATAAACAGGATATGATTAGCATTACTTTGTTTATATCCAAAAGAGATCATAACTCTTCTAAATCATTCAAACCATGCTCTTGAAGACTGCTTTAATCCGTATAAGACCTTTTTTAATTTGCAAATTTTTCCTTGCATCCTCTCATCTTCAAATCTATGTGAAATTTTCATATATATCTCTTCCTCTAAGTCTCCATGAATGAATGCATTTTTTACATCAAACTGTTATAAATCCTAATCAAGATTAGCTGCGAAAGACAAAAGTATTCTAATTGTATTCATTTTCACAACAGGTGCAAAGGTCTCCTAATAGTCAATTCCATAGGTCTGAGTAAATCCTTTACCCGCCAATTTAACTTTGTATCTTTCGATCGATCCGTCTGTTTTGTACTTAACGGTGAACACCTATTTGCAACCGACTATCTTCCTTCCCTATGGAGGTGAAACAAGTTCCCATGTTTCATTTTTTTTCAATGCTCTCATTTCTTCAATCATGACTTCCTTCCACTTGAGATCTCCTAGAGCCTTTCTCCAATTCTGTGGAATAGATGCAGAGGAAACAGATAAAACAAAATCTCCATAAGAGAGAGATAAAGAGTCAAAGGAAAAAAAGTTAGATATAGGATGCTTAGTACAAGTTCTCGTTCACTTTCTAATAGCAATAGATTTATCTGATAAATCACAAGAGAAAGATAACTCACTAGTATCTTCTGAAATCAGAGAAGATTTTTGACCTGGGACAGACTGCATGATGACTTTTTCTGACTTATATCTCATTGAATACCTTTTCAAGTCTAATTTATCCAGACGTCCAACATTATCTTTTTGATTAAGACCTTCTGCAATAGAACTCTCTCCCTAAATATGACTCTCAATAGTTATCCAATTAGGTGTCACTTCTTCCTTCTCACTCTCCTTCTGAAGAAGTGTTGGGTTTGAGTTGAAGTAAGACTCAGTTTTCCTAAATGTAACATCCATAAATGGTGGATGATAACACTTATAGCCTTTTTGGGTATAAGAGTATCCAACAAATACACACTTGAGAGCTCTAAATTCCAACTTATCCATATTTCTAGCATGAACAAAGCACGCACATCTAAACATTTTTGGGGGAACAATGTAGGAACTTTTTTCTGACAAAACCTTCATAGGGCTTTTAAAATCTAGAACTCGCAAAGGCATTCTACTGATAAAATAGACAGCTGAGAAAATTGCATCTTTCCAATAACTCTTCGGTAGATTCATGGTGAACATTAATGACCGACCTACCTCTAGTATGTGTCTATTTTTCCTTTCGGCAGCCTCATTTTATTCACTGGTGTAGTCATAACGTATCTGATGAATTATCCCATTTTACTCCAAATAGGCACGAAACCCACTATTCATATATTCTGTACCATTGTCAGTTCTCAGAATCTTAACTTTAGTACCAAACTGTATACATATCATTTTATAAAATGATTGAAAATATGAAAATACATCACCTTTTGCTTTTAACAAATAAATCCATGTTAATCTAGTACAACAATCAATAAAAATAACAAACCATCTATGAACAGAAAGAGAAGTATTATGCGTAAGTCCCCACACATCAGAGTGAATAATCTTAAAAGGATCAGTACTTTTATTATTATTTAAATAATAAGAATTTTTCTCATATTTAGCAAGTTCGCATGTATCATAAAACAAAGATTCCATAGAAGTTCTTTTAAATAAACTAGATATAATTTTTCTAAAATAAAAAAGAAAGAATGTCTCAATCGTCGGTGTCATTGTAGTATTTCCATATTATTTCCAATGGTGGCTTGATTCCTAATTAATTTCTGGTGCATATCCAAGATATATAAGCTATTTTGTAGTCTACTAGTACCAATCCTCTTTCCGGTTTGAAAATCCTAAAAATGCAATAATCAGGAAAAAATTTAATTTTACAGTTAAGATCTCTAATTATATTACTAACAGATAAAAGATTGTCAGAAAAACTAGACATATGTAAAACTGAAGACAGTGTAATAGCAGGAGTACAATTAATATAACTTGTTCAAGACACGAGGGTGTATGATTCATCTGTTATATGGACATTTTTCCCTTTAATACAAAAAACATAAGTTAAGAATTTTTTAGAAGAGTGTCATATAGTAGTTAGCTCCAGAGTCTATAATCCAACTATCAAGAGTGGAATTAGGATAGAGATGCGCAATATCTGATTTTACCATAATTGATGTGCCAACAATTGGAGAATTAAGTTGATTCAGAACGCGCTTCAAATTTTAAATTTCTTTTGTGGAAAAAACTCCAACGGATGGTGAATCAGGTATTTCGCTAGCTTCAACAAAATTTACTTGAGCTCTTGTGGTTCCACCTCTTCTTCCTCCCCGACCTCTAATTGGTCTTCCATGCAACTTGCAACAAGTTTTCCTAATGTGTCTTGGTTTGCCACAATAGTCACACTTCCATATATCTCTAGATTGATCAGATTGAGCAACTAATCCAGCCTTCTCGATTGGTGCAATGTAAAACATGACATTTCTTCTACTCTTTTCTTACTGGACATAAGCATAAGTTTGTTCTAATGAAGAAAAGTAATCCTTACCAAACACTTGGACCCGTATTTGATCATATTTAGTATTCAGACCAGCTAAAAAATTATAAATTTGCTCTTTTTCTATCAATTTCTGAAATTTGACTACATTTGCAGGATACTCTGCTTGAAAATCTTGAGAAATAATCATCCCTCCTTACTTTGTGTCATGAATTTTATTATAAAGTTCATAAGTCTGGGGGTCATTACTCATCTGTGAATTTGTAAGAAATGTTGCATTCCATATTTTTTCGACAGTGTTAAGCAACAGATATGTTCTGCCAATATGAGACTGCATGGAATTTATGAGCTATGATATTACCAATGAACTCTCAGAATCTCATCTATTATATTCTAAACTATTAACATCTTATTTCTTCACTTCACCAGTAATGTAACCCTACAATCCTCTAAATTTGATGAACAATAAATAAGATATTGACCAAGCAAAATAATTAGTTTTATCAAGTTTTACGGGACTGATTTATAATGAAGGATTATCAAAACTGTAACATTTAACTCTCACCTTTTTTGCTTCTATCATCTTAGAATGCTAAAAATAAGAAAAAAATACCCAGTAATAAAAAACGAACCTCCAAATTTGCACCAAAGAGCCAACAAAGGACCAAAAAACCGAAAAAATGACAAAAAAACAGGAATCAAATCTGGCTTGGCTCGACACCGGCTCAGACATGGACAGCTCTGCTCAGGAGCGGACGAATCAGAGCGGAGTGGTTCGGCACGCAGAATGGCCATACCAGATGTCCCGTGCGGGAAAAAGCGGACTGGTGCAAGGGAGGGGCTCTATCCGATCAATGCAGCGCGACCAGAGCAGTGTGGTGTGTAGGAGGATCAGTCAACCCGCAGATCAGCCCGATCAGAGCGGCGGAGGGCGCAGAACAACAGATCTTCCGAATGCGCGCAGCCGCGTGAAAAAAGGCTTGATAATCATGATCAAGCTAGATTTTGTGCGGAAATGAGCCAAATTTGTCTCAATTGGGCTTTTCTGACGGTATTCCACCGTTTTTCGAGCCAAATGGGATGAAGCCATTGGCGTGTGTAGCTGGCACGCGCGGAAACTATGGTTGTTTTGGCTGGAGTTGAGCGGCGACTCCGTTTGGGTGATCCTGGGTTTGGTTTATTTGGTAGTTGAGTACCAACTTGGCCTATTTTACTTATTTTAGGGTTTTTTCAAAACCTAAAATAGCTTTCCTTTGACTTTGATACTATGAAGATTTTGGAAAAAATAAATTTCTAATTTTATTTCTTATATCCTTTATGTTTACATTTATGAGATATATATAGAGTAATTATCCTTATTTTAAGAGAATTCTAATTACATAATACATGTCTACTATTAAAACTCTAACTATAGTCTAATACTCTACTTAACATAGAATCTTTATCAACAATAACTTTGGAGAACTTAGCCATCAACCTTCTTACCCACTGGTGCAAATGCTAGTAGAATCCATATATTTTTACCATGATAAATTCTAGAAAGGGCAAAATGCACAAAGAACTTTACCATGCTTGTGAGCAGAATGTTCCTTCTCCACAAGGTCAGATAAGTATTCAGTGCCGACGATATGGCCATGACTATCCAAACGAAGCTGCAGAAACACAAGTGATTAGATTAGCGGATAATGACCCCACCGCATTAACAAAGAGTTAGAGACAACAAAAAACAAAGTAACACTTTCTTAAGCTTTGGCTCCAAATAAATACAAAGAGTAGCACTAATAGCCACTGTATGATGTGAGAAAAATCAAGTACTAAGAATGGTATGCAGAGTGGGAAGGGGAAGAAAAAGAAAAACTTATTGTTAATTAATTATATTTTTCTTATAAAAAATTAATCATAGCCCTTTTACATGGGGATCTTTTTTTAATTAAAAAAAGAAATGCTACCAGGTAGAGGAGGAAAGGTGACAAACTATTACACTTGAAGAATGATCTTTAAGGTCTGCCAATTACAACACTTCCAGAGACCAACTTGTGCTTCCTCCTTTTCTTTCCCTCATTTTATGGTACATCCAGAAAAGCCACAGACAAAAAGAAAAAAATAAAGCCTTTCAGAAAAAGCCACAGGTCACTTCAGTACCCACAGAAAGATTTGTTAGTCTTCTACCAACTCTAGTAAGTAATCCAATCTTTTTGAGGTTCATTCTCCAGCACCTTCACCATTTCAAGTTGAATTTGTAAGTCTTCTACCAACTCTACTAAGTAATCCAATCTTTTGAGGTTCATCCTCCAGCACCTTCACCATTTCAAGTTGAATCTATTGACATAATTCAATAAATTGATTTCTGAAACACCTCCAGCACCACCCTTTTCTTTTAATAAACGAAGTAGTATCACGAGGGATGAGAGAATTACCATGTGAGAGCATTACCATGCCATAAAGTATAAATCCTTCTTAGACATCCAGCCTCTCACCAGTACCATCCAAATAAATTAAATTTGTCCTCTAATATATTTATTAATTTTATGTACAATATTCGAGCCCTAATCCACGCAATCAAACAGGTAAAATACGATAAGTCATTGAATGTAAGTCAGCATGATCATTCAAACATTTGACTGCTGGATCGTAAATCATTTGTTTACAAGAAGAATAAAGCACTTCTATGTGCTCATCAGACCAAATAGACAATGACTAATAGAAATAATATTTCACACAGAATGTATTCAGTTAATTTTTAATAAAGAAGAAATAACTTTAGGTATGTTTTCACTTTCCCCTGTTTGAACTAAGACATAGCGGCTGAAATTAAATGACAGAGAAATGTTGCGATTTAGCTGCATTTCTCCGCACTGGCATATGGAATTTTTTCGATGGGAAGAGAAAAATGTCACTGAAAAGGCACCAAGGGGTTCCAACCATGTAATATACATGCTTATATATGGAGCTTAACTTTGATGCTTAGATAAAGTATATACATTAATGAACCAAAATTTTGAAATTATGGTATAGAGCTGAAATAAAGAGGGGAATTTATAAATTGAGATTAAGAGAATGGAACTCAACTGCACTTTTTTAGTGGATATGATGTAAGGATCCAGACATTTAATGGCAGGTTTTTTTAACCACATTGATGCTTTCTTATAAAATTTTTCTCTCAAAAATCATTATAAAATGCTAAAACGGATTAGAGCCAATAAGTAGAGAGACTTTCCACAACGTTGATGATGGTGATATGGAACTTCTTAGAACTATTTTAAAACTTGGTTGGTGATTCTCACATAACGCACAATTCCTTTTAGGAAATGAAGATTAACCCCTTGCGTACATGGTGATCATGTACAGAGCTATCTTGTAGGATTCTTAGGGCATCTTAAAAAGCAAAAGCAAAATTGAATGTCAGTGGATGTTAGCACACTCTTCCTTTGAAAAAAAAAACCATAAAATTAGAGTTCAACTATCTCCAACCTCCAAGACACCAGATAAAATATGATACATCAATGTGTTTTTTCTTGGGAGGTAAAAAATATGATATATCAGTGTTACTTCAACAATTGACTAAAATGGTTTCATTGTCAACCTTAAAATTTGCAACCAAAGAAACAAGAAAAAGATTCAGGAAAAAAAAAACACCAAAGTAAAGTATCTTACTTTCCATATGTTTGTATCAAGATCCACTTCATGTTTGCCCGACATATCAATAGCATCAACACTTAATACTGCAAAAGAGGAAATGATATTAGAAACGGAATCTAAGAGTTCAGAAGGTCATGGAGATGAAGGAACAAACAACTAAATACACAATTACAAATTGGTATTGCTAACCATCACAAGGCAAGGAAGGAAATGTCATATTTATGTGAATTGGAAGAGTTTCTCCTCGCTTCAAATCCACAGACATCTGCAGAAGACATACAGAAAATCATCTATTTTCCAGTCACAATTCATACTTTGTTCCCTTAAAAATAAGTAAATGATGAAGGAACCATGTAAATATCTTACATCTTTAACTCGTACATATTTAGTAAAAATGGGCTACAAGATTAAGCAATCCTTAATTAAGTCCACCTTGCTCAATTTGATGCTCAAATAGTTCAAGAAAAATTCTTGAATGCCCCACCTAAAAGGTACTAAGGAATTTCAAACACTGCCAATACCCAACCTTGGCAGCTCGTTCTATTCACTTTGTTAATTTCTTAATGAAATTTTCAATTATCTCATGTCTACCAGAGTTAATTGTCAAGTCTCACCCTTCTGAACAGGGACATTAAGGTTTTGCAGTCCGGAGGTAAGTTATTAAGGTATTTGGGATTGCACCAAAGGATATGCTTAAAGCAGTAGGGTGTTTTAAATCACATAAAGCAATAAATTCTTATTCAAAACATAAATAGATACATACTTAAAAAAAAATAAGCAATTGCATGTTTGGAGAAAGTCTGATTGAAAAAATACAGTTATTGTATGTAAAACATAAGAATTATAATATATTTATCACTTTTTCGAAAATAAAAAAGAATATATATTTATAATTTATGTATTGCTAATTCTATGTGGATATCAAGATGATAATTAAGTAAAATTTCTCAGATAAAAAAAATAAGCACCCAAAATAGTTGGAAGAAGTGCTTATTCTTTAACTTTCTTGAAGTAACTTTTTAATAACCTAACAAGTGGATTTGGTTAACAACCGTGGAGATTGAAATAAAATACTCATTGCATATAGAAAAAAACAAAAAGAAATTAGAGGAGATAACAATGTCCTTTAAGTTGGCTTTCCTACTGTAGAATGTTTAGAAGCTACCAAAGACAATGCTGTAAAACCATCTATTTATTATAGGATAGTTTAGTATGACTTATCTTTTTGTAGCTTATGAGTGAAAAATAATTGCAAAACCATATTCACCAAGGAAGAGGAAATAAGCAGCAGAATGAGCAAGAGATAAATGCAAACCTGATGCACCGTGTATGTGGTAAGATAATACCTCAGCTCATGCAAGAACAAAGTTGCCATTATGGCTAGACCCAAAAGAGAGACTGGAGAAAAGAAATAACAGATTTATAAAGTTACTGCCAGCGTCTCACATCATACAAGAATATCTAAGGAATGATATTATTACACAAGAGTACATCCAAGAATAAGATAAAGACTTAGTTACATTTGGTACACAGATACATTTTCTAGTTTTCATTTTCTACCCAAACATATGTCTATGCATATTTCAGATACCCTTTTTTTAATTTACTTTACTACCAAACAGACATAACACTATACATGTTTTCATGTATAAACATATACTAATTTAGGAGCTACCAATTATGAAATATTTCCTTGTAACATCCTATCCTTCTATTTTCCTCTTTTTTCAGGTTTACCACAAGGAATTTAAAGCTTTATTTGGAGCAAATAAACAATAAAGTTTTATTTAAGTGTAACTGAATTTAAAATTCTTTTTACATATCAAATTCAAAAAGCCAATTATCCTGTAGAGCATGAAATCCATTCAAAATATATTTTATAGTCTGAATTTCCTCTCTTTCAATGACAGAGTGACTTGGAAAAAAAAAAAGATTCGAGGTGGCAATCAAATTTCTTTACCAATAGCCCCAGATTGTGTCTTCTGCAGCAAGTGCTCCTCTGCACGAGGAAACGCATCAAGGCTCTTTAGAGCTTGCTTCACGCCCATCTTCTTAGCTTTTCTTCCCCAGCAAAGCTAAAAAGATATAACTCGCTTCCTGTACACTCAATAATCAAATAAACCCACGTCAACCATGTGAAAGCTTTATCCAGATTCTACTTAGCAACAGACAAGACACCCATCTCCTTGAATACTCAACGAGAGATATATTCACGGAAGACGAGACACTATGCAATACAAACATAAGATGTAAAAATATTGGTAAATCCCCTTAATTTCATAATCTTTCCCTATGAAATATGCACTATAACATCGAACCTTCAGGAGCCCTAACCAGAAACAAAAAAAAAACACAAATATGAGATTTCAGGCGCGGTTTCGATTAAACCAAAGAGAGGTAAAACCAATCCCCATATAAAAATTCTATAAATCAGGGGCTGCTTCTAATTACGTGAATGATTTCCTTCTCCGAATAAAAAATTTGAATTGCAAAAGGAAATCAAATAAAGCAGGTGATTAGAAAATAATGGCCGGAGCTAAACAATAGAAGAAATTTTACCTATAACGAGATGAATTATCTTTGCCTTTGAGAATTGGCGGAAGAGAAGAAACTAGTCATACTATATAAAACGCTCTTGTTTTTCCTATATGTAAATACTCTGTTTTTTTTTTTTTGTTTTTTTTTTTTTCTCCTTTTGCTTTTTTCTTTTATTTATTTATTTATTTTTCGCAAATCTACACGGCCTTCTGCCCGCGGTGCGGGGGGTCAAAATTAATATCTATTGCGTCCATGGGAACTCTGAATTTTCGACATCATAAAAAGTAAACTAACAAAGTACGGGGTGTATACAGTATTTTGTAATAAACAATAAAAAATATATTAAATTCTAAAATTTTATTTGATGAATAAAATAGATATATTCTACTCTACGGATAAAATAATAATTTAATCAGTATAAATTTATTTTTATTAAATTAATCTATATTTTAATTTTTAATTAAATTAGTACTTGTTAAATTTAATAATATGTAATATTTTTTTATTGAAAAAAAAATTAGTAACAACAAAACTCTATTTTTGTTGATGATTTTGTAGTTCCTCCTCATTTTCTATCAACTTTTCTCAATCCCTAAACAACTACTTCACACCGTAATAACCTTATATAGATTTTTAGTTTTCTAACCTTTATGCTCTCCATCTTGATTTCATATGTGAAATATAATTGATTGGTGGTAGTTAAGAGAGTGCAAGCTGGGGTATATGCAATTATTTTTTTTGTTTTAATTTTGGTCAATTTCTCTGTATCGATTTTATTTTTATTCTTAACAATTTTAGCAATGATCGTCTTTATCTTAATATTTATATCTCTTTCAATTTTGATCTTATCCTTAAATAAATTTGACTGAAGTGACAAAATTAAAATAATAAATAATAAAAATAAAATACTAATAATGAAATTAAGTAACTTAAAAAAAAAAGAAAATAAAAGTAACAATAGTAATTGTAATAGTCCCGAAAATCCAAAAGAAAATATATAATAATTTAAGTGCCAACGCGAAATAAAAGATTAACATTTACATCTCTTACACAATAACTTAAAAGTACTAAATAAACATTACGAAATAAATTATCTGAAAGAAATACGAGAAATAAGAAAAGTAATGAAAAATAGAAAGTATCTAGCATCTACTCGCAATCTTCCTGCGAATCGGGCTCTGAAACCAGATCCTCTTGATCTGAAATGGTTAAATAAGGGATGAGTTACACTAAGCCAGTAAGAATATCACATTATATCACCCGCACAGAAGTAAAGGTTGGTATAAAATCAAAACAACTAATGAAACACTAAATTTAACAAATTCGTTTGTCAATTATAAAATCATTTATCGTTCACTTATCATAGTGGAATCTATGAAAATAATCTGTAGAGACAATAATACCATACAGATCATAACTTTATGAACAATTAGCAACATATAAAATATCATAGATCTATATCCATTAATAATAAATCAAATCATAACCGTTTCTCATTTCACCAGCCTACTAGTATCCATGGGGATTTATAGGGATGTCCCCGCTACACGTGAACTATTTTATTTAACAATCTCAATTATAGGACCGTCCTCATACCCCATCCAATATAAGTGTCAATATGTTAAATCTCAATACCCCGTCCGGTATGAGGTTGAAACAGGTCGTCTCTATACCTCGTTCGGTATGAGTGTTAAATTATCAAGTCTCTATATTCCGTCCGGTATGAGATAACATTCACAGTAGGGTTCTCCATGTACCCGGTCCGTCCACCATCTCTCAGGATATCTAGTAAGGCTGTCATTCCATCTGTTTATTTGATAACACCCATTTTTTATTTTCTTTTAGTCTCCATTACCAAATCAAATGTAATCACATAAATAAATAAACATGCATCCGGTAATGCAATCATATCTCAAATTCCAAATCAACTAATGGTCAGGTAAGTCAGTAATATATACATTTAAACCATAAAATAGATAAATCAGATACTATCATACTTTTAGACTGTAAAATAAATCAACAGAAAACAATGTCCGGTTTACACTCAATTAATAATCCGTAATTAGTTATGCACATATATTTATTTGTACAAAATACCGTATTATTATTTATTTAAACTTCAATTCTATTATAAGAAATAGGGTGAGGGTTTCTCACTCGATTTGATGTCGAAAAGCTAAAGGGTTTACTGCGCCTACAAGTGGTCCCTAGGTTCCTTGAATTTTTCTTCGATAATTGAAACACGCTTATAGTACTTACAAATATTCCGAATAAACCCAAAATTAGTCTCAAGGCCCGCTCGAGCAATTTTAAAAATTCGGTACGGCGGCTCCGCCGTGCTCCAGCAATGGTGGTCCGCCTCAAGTCGGTTAGTTTCAGCCGTTTTTTGTCAAATTCGACCGATTTTACATCGATTCCTGTGAGCATGCACGCTAAATGGTCTCGGTTGGCTGAAAAAATATGAAAAATCGAAACTCACTGGTGGTGGAGCTCGCCGATGCTGCGGCTCCTCCAGCTCACGTTGCAGTTGGGTGTTTCGCTTCGGTCAACCTGTAGAGAAGAAAACGGTGATTACAATGGTGAAAAAATTACGTGAAACGAGAATCAGGAAGGGCTTCATAGGAGGCAGTTTGTGAAATTCTCCATAGCGGCGCCGCCAGGTTTTTTCGGTATTTTTCGGCCAATTGGCCAGTTCTTTCACTCCAATTTAGCCATGAGTGGGTTTAAAATTGAATTTTGTGCAAAAGGAGAAATTTTTACCTTTTTTGACAGTCGGAAAGGGTTCTGGTGCGGCGGCAGGCGGCGGCGGTCAGCTCCCCAGCAGCTGAGTTGTCTTATCCGGCAAAGGGTTCTGGTGGTTTGGTGCAGATGGAGTTATTTATATCATCTGTTTTTGATATGGATCGTTCATTATATTTGATCTGGACCGTCCGATCGCGATTAAATAGGGAGTGAATTTGGACCGTTCATCGCGATCCAATATGAGCTGTCCGTGCGCGATTCACTTTGGGCCGTCCATGCGCGCGAGAACGGATCTCAGTCGTTCGATCGCGTGTACGCGAATCGCTCACGTGGCTCCCCCCACGTGGCTTCTCACATCAGCGCCTCTGCCACTTGGCACGTTTTGGTTGGTCGGAGCTGCTGACCGAACGTTTGACGTGCCAAAATTTTTTAAAATTATATTTTGACAGCCGGTTTCTAATTTTTCTTTCAAAAATACCTTTGAACTTAATTTTTTAATTTTTTTTAAAAAATTATTTTCAATTTAATTGTTAATAAATTTTACTCATTTTTTATTAAAATAAAATAAATAAATAAATAAATAATTAATTAATTAATTATATTTATTAATAAAAAAAAAAAGGTTTTGATGGGTGTTACAGTAATGATGTTGGGTAGGGAAGGATGAGGTGATGGATGATTATGAAATTGAGATGATGAAGAAAATGGAGGTCCCCATTTAATTCAATTATACCAAAATATGAGGTGGTGATGCATTTATTTTTATACAAACATTAATACGATCAATATAAAAATTATTTTAAATATTATATTAAATATTAAATAACATTTAATGTGATATTTAACTTATAAAAAGATAAATTAGAAAGAGTTATATGTCAATAAATTTAATATATAATATATAAGTAAATGGTTCAAATAGTTAGTAATACATAATGACTGAATTGATTTTTAAAAATATAAAAATTAATTTATTTACAAATTAAAATATGAGATAATTTAGACAAAAATAAATAATATATAAATTAAATTATTATTTTAACATATGTTTTAATATCCATGCGTTGTAAAAATAAAGATACATATTGAAGATGGTAATAAATATTTTATATATTTAAACAATAAATTTGACTATATATATTTTACTATAAATATATAAATTAAAACATTTAAATACATAAATTTTTCATAAAACAAATAATTATAATAAATATAAACGTCTAAAAGGAGCACGTTTAACGGTCCAAACGAGAAAAATAAGGACAAAAAAGAAAAACAAAAACCTCTGACTGACAACCTGATTAAAAAT